TCATACTCAGTATGGTCCAAACATCATGACTTATGATCGACAGTGCATACGGTAATATGAGGTTTCGCTCATAATATCGGAGAGACTGGGTTGGTCATCGGATCATTTGCGCGGGCGGCCGCCTAGCCCCGCCTAGCTGAGCCCCCGCCCGGCCCGTTAGAAGACGGTAGGTAGTGAATGAAGCTAACACGTGTCTGACTTGTTCTTTAGACAAAACAAATCTCGCTATCTTGGGAACGCAAGTGGTGCATGAGAGTGCTTAATTCGGCGCTGCCATTCGTACTATCACTAATTAAGGTATGTTGCGCTATACTAAGCTAGCATGAAGCTAGCAAGACTCGCAGCCTTGCCAAGCCCGTCACACTGGGATACTGGGATATGATCCCAAAGTTGGAACGCGATTTCATGGCCTTGAGTCTCGTATGCATCCGGACAATCAGTGTAACGGCCGCTTCTTGTGAATGTACAAGTTGCATGAATGATTATCCAAAAATTGTGCACTTGTTCTCATTCCAATGTGCCTTCACTACTTTTCCATCAGCTAGGTTTGGACCGATGTATAGCACATGAAGATCCGGGACGGTAGCTAGGCGTCAGAACCCAAACATTTATTCCCATGTATGCCATGGAAGCCTTTGGCCCATGTGGCTACGGCAATTGAAAAGACAACATCATCCGGCTGCGGGGAGATCCTCAAAGAATTGGGGTGTACATTTTCGTCACACAAGTAAAGCCGCCAACATTAAGCCCTAGTACACACCGGCCAAGTTGAAGATTCTTAGAATGGCATTATAGTGATTGAATTGATCAAACGACCAGCAAGTATTACAAGTGCGTGCACTTTATCCGCATGCAAGATAGTTGTCGCAAACCCGACAGCCCAAATTGAGCAACAAGACACAAAACCATTTGATCACACTTCAAAAATCTACGTACGGTAGTTCCGGTCTTCCAATGGTTCAGTACGGTGGACATCGATGCGCTTGTGGTGAGGCGTACGTACTCCCAATAAGCGAAAATGTCGACAAGGTAAAAGGTTCAGAATGTCAACCTACACAAAGCACGTCTGCTAGCCCTCATACTTGAGTCCACGCTAAGACCCTTGCTCGGAGAGTGGCTGTTCACAGTCATTTGGGTCCTTGAGCAGGCGGATTGAGAGTGGAGGGGTTACCCGTAAGCTTTGCTTCCACATGGAAGGCGGCAACGCTGTCCCTCTCATGATGACCCTATTTTTGACCAGCTACTGCATGCCAACAGTCTAAAGCCCGCCCCGACATTTGACAGCCGGCGCGGCGCTTCCTGATCCACAATCTACTCTGATCCCCCTGATCTCTGAGCTCGATACTCAGCTACTCTTAGACTGCCCACGACACGTATAAGAAAAAGCAAAGGCGTGTGACTGCGGTGCGAGTGACTACATCCGACAAGCTCCTACGGCGATAACACGACGACACAACCTACAAACCCTAGCCAGCATCAAAGGTCCTAGAAATGGCTTAACCGTGGCACCAATGGGCACTCCTCAACGGTAATATCAATGCTGGGTAAGCGCGCTCCTCTGGGATTCCCAAACCCTTTACGCGCTCCTCGGAGCCCGATCTGATCGCCAGACCGGAGCGGTCAGATAAGCTATCTGTACAGCCGACCAGGGCCCCAAATTGCCGGCTTTCCCCAGCAAGTATAAAGCTCGCCGGTCGCAAGCGACGCAGCATCTGATGACGTGCGTATCGGACGCAAGCCCACTCACGCACGCCGTCCAAAGCCTGCAACCTGTGTGCACCTGCCGTTTGACGGAACCCTACAACCTGTGACGTCACAGACCTCACGGAGCTGCCTCTCCCGAAATCGATCTCTTCGACGGCGCGGCGCCACCTCACGCACAGGGGGTGATGCTCCACCCCCCCAGCGCACGGCGCTCCGCTTCTAAACGTTACCCACGCCAGTCGACTTATTCTTCCAAAATCCTTTCCGCATCAGGATCAACATCTGCACTGATTCTCAGACCCCTTCACCTCCGGATCCGGCTTTTCAGACCCAGCAGAACCTTCAACACCCTTCACATTCCCAAATCCCCAGGACCTCCGCGTGTTTCATCCAGCAAACCCTTGCAGGAAACTCACAACCTCCCGCTAACCCCGCTTCTCAGCTTCCTGCCAGCTGTCCCGCCGGCAGCTGTCCGCCGTCGCCGCTGCGCCCCTCCTCCTTCTTCGCCACGTCAGCCCACGACGCGGACCCCCCCTCCAGTGCGGACGCAGCAGGCGCCTCCCACCCGCCCGAAAAGGCGTCCAAAACGCCGTTCGAAATGCTGCCCCCCGGGAACGCGCCCCCAGCGCTGTTGCTCCTGTGGAACAGGGGGGGGGTGGCCTTCGCCCCCTCTTTCTCCCCCCCGCCCGCGGTCAGCCGCTCGACCGCCTGCTGCAGGGCCTGCGTCTTCGCGGGGCCCTCCTCCGCGAGCCCCTGCTGCTCGGGCCCGGGCGACTTGTACGCCCGGAACCCCTGCGGGCTGCCGCCAGCTGTCAGGTTCTCGGACGGCGCGTCCAGGGACAGCGTCCGCGGGAGCATGTCGGACGGCGCCTTGCTCGCCGTCTTCTCCGATTCGGGGGTGTCCTCCAGAACCACAAAGCGCGATTTGGTGAGGGGCCCCTTGGCGAGGGGAGGCGCCGCCAGCTTCGGCCGCGGGCTCGCGATCTCCCCCCCGGTTTCAGCGGCGCCAGGTGTCGGCGGCTTGGCTGCTTCCGGACGCGGGCTGTCCTTGCGGGGGGACAGTTTGCCCTTGTCGGGGGAACCCCCCTCCGACAGCACCTCGTCCAGCATCTTCCCGACCAGCTCCGCGTGGCTGTCGTCGTCCTTCGGACCAGTCACCTTCGGGCCGTCCGAACCGTCTCCCGCACTGTCCGTATTCTTTGCCCCCTCGACAACCGCCGGGGTGACTTCTGGAGCGTCCGCCGACAGCTTGGCGCTCTCCCCGTTTCCGTCTTTCTTGTTTGCCTCGGCAGCGGAGCCGCGCGCGCTGAGCTCGAGTTTCTCGAGCAGCGCGGCCTTCTGCTCCTGCTGTCGCTGGCGGAGTGCGAGTTCCTCCTCGCGCTGCTTCTTGCGCAGCTCGAGCAGCTCTTCCGTGTGCGCCATCTCCATCTCGCCAAGGGCGTCCTTGTGGTTGATCGCCGTCGTCAGGTTTGCCGCGATTTCTTCCTCCAGCGACTCCATCTGCTTCTCCAGCCTGCGATGTTGGCGGAACATTTTGAGGTTAGCAATGGAACCGGAATCAGTAAAGAAGTAAAAATCGCAGCGCGACTGTCGCAAGAGACAACCTGCTTCAACAAGCGTGAGCTGCCGTTCAAACAACCGCAACTACGTTCCCTAAAGGATCCATCTGTGTATTCAGCGAGAAGAGGACACGACAAGTTGGTAAAGCCCCATGTATCCACATCGGGCTGTGGACGAACTCGAAGAAAGTGCGATCGCCTGGCTGGTACATCCTCTACGTTCGGGAAGACCAGATGCTTCACCAGCACCTTTCCGACCAGCATTTGTTGTCTATGTAGCAACAGGCCCCAAGCAACATCAGGCACACGAGAAATCAAATTTGCCGTTCATCCAGGCCGATCCCCTCTCGCTAAGCGGCTTTCCCTCAACCGAGCGGGCTACTCTCGGAAGATAGCAATGATACAGACCCGCAGAATCCTGACACCCACCTGGCCTTCTCGCCCTCCTCCTCTGCCCCGTCCTTGAGCGTCTCGAGCGCGCTCAGGCGCTTGGCGTCGGACGCCTCCCGCTCGCGGCGTTTGGCCAGCGCGTCCTGCTCTGTGGCCGTGAATTGCGTCGCCAGCTCCTTGAACTTGCCGTCGTAGAACAGCTCCTGAGACTCCAGCTGAAAACCAAGAAGGAGACGAACTAGGGACCGAGTAGTAGACCGAACGACCAGGGCTTTTTGGTCCTGATCTATCAAACAGAAATCCGAGCAGTATCTGAAGACGCTCCCATTTGCAGTAAGCCTGATCCACCAAGAGAGGGGTCACTGCACTCAAGTTCCGGCTGCTGCTGACAGGCGAGGCGGTCCACATGGAGCAACTACGTTGTCGAACATACACAGAATTTGAAAGAAGTTATCGCCCAGAGGCTCGTTTAGTGGACCCAACCGTACCAGATCCTACCAACCCTCCTAGGATCATTGGCTCCGCTCACACCCAACAAGTGCTTGACCCTTCGGCGGCTGCAGACAATCAAAAAGCATCGCAAGCCCTCACAAGCCCTCACCGCCCTGCACCTAACCTCCTCCTCGTCCTTCTCCTTTTGCGGCTGCAAAGAACCTCAGATCCTCGCAACCCTCTCACAAAATCGTTTCAAGGGCTCTAAAGCTGCTCAAAACCGTTGCGCCAGCGCTCACCTCCTCCTCGTGCTTATCCTTTTGCTGCTGCTGCAGCTGCTCCATCTTGGCGTAGCGCTCCTGCAGGTTGCGCAGCTTCTTGCTCTGCACGCGCAGCTCGCTCTCCGCGCGCGCGCGCGCGCCCTCGTCCTCGGCGGCCTTCTCGCGCAGGCGCGACACCTCGCCCGCCTCCGCGAGGCGCTGCTGCTCGCGGCGCGCCTTCTCGTCGTCGACCGCCTCCTTCTTGGACTCGGTCCACCACTTGACCAGCTGGCCCGCCTTGCCGTTCTTGCCCTTGGCGAACTTGTCCAACTGCAACAGAGGGGGGAAAAACGCCGTTGTCAGCATCAACAGTTTCGTCCGCAGTTTGTTTGGAGTCAAAGGAAAGGGTTATAGAGTCCACATGTGACCCAGGTGTGGACAAGATGAGATTGAAAGGCAGGAAACGCTGCAAAACTTTGAACTCCAGTGCACTTGGTGGTCCGAAACAATGGTGTGGCCAGCGCTTCAAGCAGCCCAAGACTCTTTGGTTCCAAATTGTTGCCCGCAGAACCGAGAGACGAGTTTGCTCTCCGAACTTTTACAAATTCTCATATCTGTACCAGCAAGCTAATTCTGATGAAGGCAACTTTCAGAGATGCGCACAGCTTCCGGGTCACAAAAAGAGTATAAGCAGAGCAGTGCTGTGCTCCTTATATGCTCCTCGTCGCCATACTGCTGGCACACCGGCCCAATCTAGATCTCAATCAGCACAGCTCATCTGACAGTTCACCAAACGTGCTGTGGCACTTCACCAAGAACCACACACTTGCAGCCACTTCCACAGATATGCAGCCAATTCCACAGGATCTGTTTTGAGGTATCCAGCTAATAATGACAGAAAGGAGAGCTCACAAAAAGATTCAAAGAATTGGATCAAGCAGGCATGCGCAAAATTGCTCACCGCAGCCCTGATGTTTACGTGAATCCTTCAGCCCTGAAGGGACAAGAAAGGCTTGACTGCGCCTTCCTTTCAAAGAGGAGGTTGCGAGCTACCAACTCGAGTGAGCATCAAAAGACTGGGTCCATCGAAAATAGAGATTTACAAAGCAAGCGGTAATCCAGTGCCTAACTCAAAATGGCAACGGGATACCTTCGTTACCATAACATCTCTCGCAGACAGCGACACCAAAGGAACAAACCTCTGCACCCAGGCCCAAAGCGCCTCAGATACAAGCTAAGTGACTCGTGAAACAGCCACAGCGTCTCGATTGGCTTCACACTATCTTCAGGGTTCATAGCAAGTGGAGGAAATGCACCACTGACGCCTTTGCGTGCTTTGAAGACACAGTCCTCAAAAAGAGCCAGCATAATCAATTGTCTGGTTCCGACAAGAGCCCCAGCACAACATAGAGCACACTACTAGAGCAACTCATCCAGATAAAGGAGCCTTGCTTCTAAGGGAGCCAAGCAACAACAATTGCAATTGCCACGAGGAGATAGCATGCGATTGACGTTCTCCATAACCAAACAGGGACGACGGTGCTACTTTCTCGGCCATCTTTAGCAAGAGCGGTGTGAGCTTATCGAGCTCAATCACCCTTCATCATTGGCAGCAAACACAAGGGGCTGATGTCAAGCAAGAGCGAAACTTAGAGGACAAGGGAGCCTTCCTCACTGCCAAAAGATGTGCGAGAACATACGTAGTTGCATGATGCAAAAACGGGCTTTTTTATCAAACTACTATTACAGCCACTTCCGCATTCTGATGCTCTTCAAAATCTCCCAGGACAAGATCATGTATGCTTCTAACGGTACGAAGCAAACATGCCAAAAGTAAGCTCTTCATATATCAAACAATCCACAAGAAACGCTCGTAATTGCACCCAAATCTTTCAGAATCTACTCAAGCCAAGCCCTGCCAATCCTCACCTGCCACATGTCCTTTGGTTGCGCCAGGTAACCAAAAACAAGCAGGTTGCCCTCCTCATCAAAGCGCTTGCTGCGGATTCCATGGGACTCCCAGCCCTCGCGCCCCCGGCTCTGCTTCTCGAAGTACTGGCTCAGCTGCACCGCCTTGTCGAAGCCGTACGGATCGGCGGCGAACTGGACCACAACACAGCCCTGCCGAAACGGAGAAGCAAATGACCAACATTGCAGTTAAAAATCCTGGAATATTATTCAATACATTTATATGTTTTTTATCTAATAAATCTTTATTCTTTCTAATTTCAACAATAAAGTGGTGCTGACAGAGTCAAGCTCTATCCACACAATTGCTGCAGCACGTGTGGACATCTGCGATGTCGCCAGAGACCTTTCCAGCCTTATGTAGCGTTTCCTCAATTGACTGGTTTCCCCAAAACAATGAAACGGTTGGCCTCACCCTCCAAAAATCTTAGAAACAAAAGCTGTTGCGACTACCTACTGGTGCCAGCATGTTTGATGACGCAGACACACAGACAGCTAACAATAACAAAAGCAAAGCTCTAAGGGCAGTCCACAGCCAGTCAAAAAGAGCCATAGGCCAGGTTTCTCTTCTGCTCACCTTGTGACCATCTGGCCCATATGCGGGGCGCACCGCCATGGGGTTGAAGCTCTTGTACTGGTCACGAATCTCGGTGGCGCCGAGGCCGTTCCAATGGCCGTCAGCATCCATCCTGACGCGCGTGTTCTGCAGGATGACCGCTGGAGGCCACACAATGATCTGGTCGTCGTCTTCCACAGGCGGGAGGAGGATGCCGAGCGGGCCTGGAGAAAAGAACGTGACGAAGATTGTGTCAGCAATTGCAAACTTGAATAGATCTACTCCTCACCAGACATCAGCCGGCATCTCACCTATTTCAACTGTCAACGACATCAAATTGCGTAAAGCTGAACCTATCACAACGTTTCTTGTGCGAGATGGCATTGTGATGACTAGATCAGCTGTATGCGGATAATTGCCTGCAATTGAAGCCAGGCATGTCATTCATCACAACCAAATGAACAGTGAGCTTGCCACAGAATGCTCCAAACAGCAGGCGCAAACCTTTACAGAAGACACCTCTTCACAAGACTCGTGTTGGCTTGGTGCAGAAATGAACAAAGCAGTTCTGCAAGCACTTTTGGCATACTTACATTCAGCATACTTACATAAGTCAATGGGATTCATGATAGCTGGTGGCGCAATCGAAGCTTGACCGGCTAGCGTAAGTAAGTCCAAACATCCCGTAAGACGTTATGCATCAACACTTAATACATGCGCTAGAAAGCTGAAACGATGCTGACGGAGTGAATGCTTTTTCAGACATGCAATAAAGCTGAAATGATGCTGACAGAGTGGATGCTTCTTCCGCAGAGTGCGCAAGACACTGTCCAGCCTCAAACCTTCTGAATAAGCGCAGTAGGACCTCTATGCCTCAACAGACCTGTCAGACAAACAAAACCAGGCCAAAACCTCACCCATGGGGTCCCTGCTGAGAAGCTCGCGCAGGGCTCGGGCCAGGCCCCTGTGCTGGATGCGCCACTCGTTCTTCTTGGTCTCGGCGTGCTGGTGCAGCGCGTGCAGGCTGTTGAACCAGAACTTGGTGCGGTTCTTGCACACCAGGCACTTCCACTGGTCCTTGGCGCCGTCACCTGTGCAAAGACTCGCTCAGCATTCAGCTCACTTGTACAAGGAACATGCCGACTGAAGGCTCTGATGCACAAGACAGCTCAAGGTCACCAGGATGCAAGAAGGCGTTCCAGAAGCGACATGATCCGAATCGAGATAGAGTGCGTACAAAATCTGCCTCGACTCAATTGAATCTAAACAAGCTTTGCAATGATCCAGACCAATTTGCCAAATGCAGAGGAAACAATATAATGAAAAATGGGTCTGCAACATGGAAAGAGCGGGCCAAGGTAGATGAAAGGCAGACCGGAGCGCTCTAATACCATATGCAGAAGAAGACTGCGGACATGCTCTGAACAGACCGGAACGGGGGCACTAAAAACATACGCCATAACGAGTTCCTGACAAATTGAGACGCTAATACGTCTGACAAAGGCAGCTTTCTGCTGTTCCAATGCACGCCAATGACAGGCATATAATGGCAGCACATGTGCCAAAAATCTCGCATAGATGATGCAGCCTCCACACGAACAACTTAATTGAAACATGCTATGTCGATGACATCAAAATGTTTGCACAAAAAGCAGCCCAATCAGGATTCAAAACCCAAGCATAGAAAAGCCAGTGCCACCAAAACCCGCCAGAGTGGCCACAGCAATGATTACCTTACATTGACAGCTCAACTTGATTGCCAATATGCAATATCCATACAAAGCTGCCCCAATCAGCATGTTGTACTTTCAGAAAGTGCTGATGCATACGCAATGGTAATGGCGGAACCAAAAACCCTGTCTGATTGATCGTTCGAAGGCACTAGAATGAACAATCTGACGACAAAAAACAAAGTGCTGCACAAGGTTGACAGCACACAAAAAGTGCTCCCCTAATCACAAAGAAAGCATACATCCACCAAAAAAACTTTGCTGTCCACAAGGTTGCTCACCTTTGCTGGCCTCCTGCAGCAGCTCAAGATACACTCTCCTGTATTTCTTGTATGCCTTCTCCTCCTTCTCCTTGGCCAACCCCTCGAACCCTTCCAGCTCGTCATCGGACGCAATGTCCAGCTCATCGCTCTCACTGTCGCTGACCCCCATTGCAGAGCTCCCTGCCATGCTCGGATAATCGGGGTCCCGAAACCCCTGGAGGGGCCCTGCATTGCCCCATGGCGGCACCCCCCGGTTGTAAAACTGGCTGCTCGCATCCTCATACCTGCTCGAATTCACACTCGGTGCACCCCTTCCATCGCCAGGGTGTGGCCAGTTGCCCTCCGGAAGGTACGGCGCACCCCTGCTGCGATTCGCGGCAAAACTGCCCCCCTCAAAACCCCCTCGGCCACCAGGAGGACCGCCAGCCCAGCCACCTCCCCTGCCTCCAGGCAAACCATACCCAGGGCCTCGCTCAAATTGCATCATCTGGGACTCATAACCTGGGTTGATGTGCTCCCTCCCTCCGCTGCCAACAGAGGAAGCAGAACCAGGTCGAGGGAATGCGCCGTAAGCTGCTTCCCTTAGATGCATCGGCACATGGACCGGATCATCTGGTGGCACGTTGCCATACCCGTACGCGCGATTGCTGAACTCCGAGCCAGCGGTCCTGTAGCTCAACCTGTCAGATTCATACTCCTCGTACGCGCGCTTGTCATCGACCTTGAGCATAGTCTGCTTCTCAAAACCCCAGCCTCTGTTAGTAGGAATGGGACCCTTATAGACTGGGGCTGCGGGCGCGGAGCCTCTCTTCGTCCTGTTTCCAGGGGGCCTAAGTGCCATCCCGCCTCTTGCAACCGCAGCAACCCTTGATTTGCTCGTCCGAATTGACTCCTCGTCCCACGTGACTGAGGGAGGGCTCGGCTGGCGTGCCGTGGGGCTGATACTGTGCTGGCTGCCCCAACTGTTCTGAGGAAGAGTCGGGCTCTGCCATCCTGCGGAGCTCCCAACTCCGATGCTCACAGGCGGGAGATCCCAGCCTCTTCCGTGAGGGGTGTCTGGCGGGGTGTGAAGAGGCCCTGAGGCACGGTATTGTGCATGCGGAGCGCGTGCCGGCACAAACTCCCTTGCATTAGGATCCTGCCACCCATGGCCCTTGGGTCTGTTACCAGGGGTTCCCAATGACGCTGCTGACAAGAGTTCCCTTGCACTCCCGCCCCCATCAGCCCAGTGAGCCTCCCCTCCCCTCCCCTGCAACTCCCAACCATTTGGTTGAGGGCTAACTCGACCAGAAACCCTCTGGCTGACCGCCTCCTGAGCACTTCCGGCGTCCCATCCCCTGTTGGCTGGCACATGAAGGGCGTTCCCACTATCCCAATTAAGGGTGGGAGAGACAGTCCCAGAACCCCCTTGCTGGGGCAGAGAACTGTTACTCCATCGCGGAGCTTCCTGTCCAGGGGCATCAGACCACTGCCACCCAGCACCTCTGGCTCCAGGAGGCAGGTCCCAACCGTTTCCGGCCATGAGAAAGCCTGTGACGGTGCGCTTCCTCCAGTTACACAAGGGATTCTTGAAATGCAGACTGGCAACTCAACTGCATTTGGAGAAACATGGAACCGAACGAGCTTCTCCTCCAACAACACCTACTCAAAGTGGAATGACTTTACACAGCTCGCCACGCTCTTCACCTACATGATTAACATAGAGAACATGATGCAGCCTACAGCCACCTTGACCAAACCCCTCGCCCCGTCCTCCCCTGCTATCCAGCTGCCTAGCTTCTGTCCTTGCTGTTGAGAAGGCTAGGACCGCAGTGCTGCTGAGTGCTGCTGCAACTTTGCTCCAAGTCTTCTCCTGGGGCTGGAGTAGGCTTAAAAGCGACAAGAGCTTACACAACAATCTGTTCTTAGAAGCCTTATCTAGATGGAGGTGCCTCCAGTGTCAAGATTCGTCGCTGGGGAAACGGTCAGTTCCTACTCTAGTGGCAGTGCATGCCACAATGGCATATGGTTTACGCCAGATATTGTAGGATGACGAATGTCAACCGTCAGATGGAAAGTTGTCGAGCGATCCGACGTTTTGTTAGCCAACGCAAAGGCTTATCGACGGCTCTAAAGTTCCTTAAACAAAATGGACGGTTCACAACAAAGGTACCAAGATCCAGCTCAGTGATGGGT